TAATCCTTTTTAGTTTTAGTCGACGAAAACTAGACTAAAATGTAATTAGTTTTAGTCACATTTAACAGCCATATTAAACTCCTTTTCTTCCCTCCTCAGGCCCAGGGACCCCCTGTGTTGTGTCTACAGCTGCATAATAGTCTAGCTTGCAGTACTTGGTTGTCCATGAGATGTCCCTCCTAGGGCAGATCTATACATGTCCCTCCTAGGACAGGTCCATCAGATGTCCCTCCTAGGACAGGTCTATGGATGTCCCTCCTAGGACAGGTCTATAGATGTCCCTCCTAGGGCAGGTCTATAGATGTCCCTCCTAGGAGAGGTCTATAGATGTCCCTCCTAGGACAGGTCCATCAAATGTCCCTCCTAGGACAGGTCTATAGATGTCCCTCCTAGGACAGGCCTATAGATGTCCCTCCTAGGACAGGCCTATAGATGTCCCTCCTAGGACAGGTCTATAGATGTCCCTCCTAGGACAGGCCTATAGGTGTCCCTCCTAGGACAGGCCTATAGATGTCCCTCCTAGGACAGGCCTATAGATGTCCCTCCTAGGACAGGTCGATAGATGTCCCTCCTAGGACAGGCCTATAGATGTCCCTCCTAGGACAGGCCTATAGATGTCCCTCCTAGGACAGGCCTATAGATGTCCCTCCTAGGACAGGCCTATAGGTGTCCCTCCTAGGACAGGCCTATAGATGTCCCTCCTAGGACAGGCCTATAGATGTCCCTCCTAGGACAGGTCGATAGATGTCCCTCCTAGGACAGGCCTATAGCAGGTCGGCAAACGTTTTGACTCGGTTGTAAAATGTGACGGAGGAGCCGGGCCAAGAACAAATGGTCGAAGTCAAAAGATTTGGATTTTAACAAATAGCAAAGCATTTATTTGCAAGGCAATTTAACAAATTGGCAAAAGTGTAACAACTTCATGAGGACCAGGGACCTAAACGCAACACTTTGTTGTCTTTGTCTGTTTACTTGCAATGCTTTTGACACTTCATGGTCCTTTATTGTTTCCACTGTCCCAACTAAAGAGACCTTAATGTCCTACAATCGTTGCAATACATTATTTTCTTGGCTGCATCATAAATCATCCATTCTAAACTGGACCCCCACTTTTCATTCCACAGTCTTTTCTTTCTCTTTGTCTCTTTGTTTATTTGTTGGTTTCATGACCAGTTCTTCTCTCTTGTGTCCTGCAGGTTTTCCTCCACCTGCACTGCGCACTTCTATCAAAAGGATCCACCTGTCATGTAAATGGTAAATGGTAAATGGACTGTACTTGTATAGCGCTTTTCTAGTCTTCTGACCACTCAAAGCGCTTTAACACTACATGACACGTGTGTGACGCCTCTATGTTGCTTAGTAACGAACGTACGGTGGCCGAGACGGTTTAACGTCTTCTCACGATGTCGCGCGTGAACTACAGTAGAAATGCGTGAGGCTTCAGAACTTGCAATGAGTTTATTACGTTAGAGGCGTTTGTGACGGAGCGTCTCATCCAGCCGAGGAAACGCTGCCTGCCGTCGCCAGAGAACAGAGCAGAAAGGTCCGACGGTCTTTAAACGCGTCTTCATGTTTCTGTGAAGCAGCGCGGCTTCAGCCCGCTAACAGGCAGCTAACCAGAGACAGCTGAGCTAAACTAACGAAGCCGAAGCGTAAAATAGTCGTCGCGGTCCGTAGTCGGTGCACAAGAACCACCGCGGCACCGATACGAGCGTCCTGGGTTCGTGGGTGACGTCATCATGGCGCGTTAATATCCGCCGTACTTTGTCTGTCTGTTGTCTGTCAGCTGCGTGCGGATTTAGGGGGAAAAAAGTATCGTGACTTCGTCAACCACCAACATGTTCGTCTCGTCTCGTTAACAAAAGTTAGAATAGATTTAGTCATAGTTTTTATTTTTTAAGATCGGTTTCGTCTCGTCTTAGTCAGGGAAAAAAGGTTCGTTAACGAAACATTTTCGTCATAGTTTTGTGTGCCGGTAATGATGGTAAATGATGCTTGTAGCTGGTTGTCATCTACGCTCCACTACGGTTACTGAAGGGGGGCGTTTGTTCTCATAATTTAGACTTTTTATCCCCTTACATTAGTGCGGAAATGGGCTTCTATAGTTGTGTGAATGCATAACTCCAGCTAATCCAAAGACGGGGTTTGTAACCAATCAGGTGTAGAGACCATGGTGACTGGCTCCGCCCCCTTAGGGTCAAAAGAAAAACAGCGAGCGCGTAGAGACTAACCTGGCGAGCGAGGAAGTTCACGCTTCGTGAGCGAGCAAATATGTCGCGCGAGACGAACTTTTGCTTGTGCGAGACGGAGATTTGCTGGCGGATGTTTGATTTACGAACGCGCATCAACCTGATTTGCGCTCTCGAATTTTGACAGTGATTTGCCGCCATACGAACAGCTGTTCGGGTCAATGAATTAATGTGTTAACTGAAAAAACACATTGTAAAGCTGGGATTGGCTTCTACTATTGTGAAATGAGCTCTAAAAGTCCCTAAAACTAGACATGAAGTGGCTGAGTGGTCCCTGTGGTCTTCAGATATCTCTGAAGCCACTACCTAAAAATGGTCATTATTAGCGTACAGAATGCACGAGCATCAACAAAACGAGTCCACCACAGACCCAATTTAACGTTTGGGCCACAGAACTACTCAGTCCGATAACGGAAGGAAAGGAAGCTTGCTTTGGTGTAAATTATTCCACATGTATGCTAATAACAACTTTTGATATGACTGATTTGTGGGGCTACAATGTCACAAACAACAGATAGAAACGGACCTTGCTATCTTGCCATGTTTGTTGAATATGGATTAATGTCAGCAAAGTCGATGCTGTTTCATTCAAAGTAAGCCCACCCCCGCTAGGTAGACGACTAGCATAGCAATTAGCTGCTACAGTTTGTCACATATACTTTGCATGACTGCATCATCTCATACAGCATGAGGCACACGTTGACTCAGAGTCAATGGCTGAGGCGTGAACCTTTGAGGCTTTGAGCTGTCTGTTACAGGCCTCTCAGCCAGAGTCCCCGTGTCCCTCCGCACATTGGCCAAGCCTCATTACGCTCCCTTCCCAAGCTCCTCGTTGGCTCCCTAATTAGGCGAGCCAATGGTGTCACCGGATCCCGAACAACTCGGGATCTTCTCCCCGTAGCAGAGACGACAAGCCATTAGGAAGTTTCAGGCCACGGGGTATTGCCATGTTTCACCTTCAATGTGCCTACGCTGTGTGTGTGTGTGTGTGTGTGTTGAGTGATTGCCGTGTTGAGCCGGGCGTCACACACAAAGCGCTGTGGAGCTCAGAGGAAGCAGGGTACCACTGTCTATCTCTGTCACGTAGCCCTGTGTCTACAGCCCCTCTCTATCTCGCCTCTAATCCATCTTCTATCATCCTGCCGACCATCTCCTCCACCCATCTATTCATCAGCCCCTCATTCAATGACTCCCTCTGTCCCACCCTCCCCCACGGCCTCCTCTTCCTCCCTCTGATGTCACAAATCCAGATATGAGGTCCAGTGATGGCACATGGCCTCAGACACTGCAGCCTTGTTTGGAGAGGAGTGATCAGAGGGATGAGAGCGGGGGGCTGGGGGGGCAACGGGAGGATGTAAGATGCAGAAACAAAGGAGAACATCTAGGTTAGAAAAGACAACATGCATGAATACCTCTGAAAAGGCGTGTTTGTTAAATGGTTACTCAGAGCCAGCAGTGCCAGTCAGGGATTACTGTCCGGTCCATTTATGTTCTCCCCTCCTGGCAGATAAAACAGTTCACTGCTAATATTCATACCTGGGGGGGGATGATGGGCGCATTCTCAGACTCTGAACTGGCCATTGTCCCAGAAAGGCGTGTGACAAGAGCAGACAATTCCTGTGCGCTTGGCTCTCTTCAGAGCCTCGTGGCAGGTCTCGTATAGGACGCACTGGGACACAACTGCTGTTTTCTCTTTTGTTGGAACAAATATACGACTTAAATTACAATGAATATTTGTGATTGGGTTTCCTTGGTGGCTTCATGTGTTTAGGTTGACATGGGACAAACATCTGCAGGGCCTTGGTTTGAAAATATGAATGAGGTCAAAAATAGGTTCAAATCCCTCGACTGCAAACGTGAAACGTGAATGAGTTTTCTACATAGACCCAAAAGTGATTTTGTTCTACCAGACTTTTCCAACCTCGTCCTCACCTGTTGAAACCCATCTTCACCCAGAAGGACACACATGGCATCATCTGCGAACCTGAACTCCATTCTTACCAGAAGGTTTGCGTGTGCAGTGCAGCCTCGCTAAGGATTGGACATTAAATGAGTGTTGCTGAGGAGGCTCCTGCACCAGAAGGGGCCACTGGATGACTGCTGGCCCCCAGTGGGGGTTTCTGGCTGAAAGTGCGCCACAGCAGTACATGGGCTGCAATCACCACGGGTTAACCCTCACACCCTGCTCAGAATGCCTTTTTCTTTTCTTTGGTTTTGGGTTCCAGCTCATTGCTCAGCCGGCTAATACCAGAACAACATGCGGACCATTAAAATGTGACAAACTCCGAGAAGTCACGGTTCCTCTTGGATGAAGATCACACAAGTGAACCGCGATGCGTTTAAATGCAGCCATCAGCTGGGGTGAGACACCTGAGAGACACAACTTCACACCCGGGTGGTTCCGTGTGCGCGCTAATCTAATCTAATGAGTTGCGCTTGTTCATTGGAAAATAACGTCTTCGGTCTGCGGCCGAGCGCGCGAGCAGCGCTGCGTTAAGCGGAGTTGATCCCCGGAGGAGCCACGCGGCGACCCGCCGGGGATCGGACCGGTTGGCGCGCGGAGCCACTCGGTGATACACCTCCAGCCCACTGAACGCACGCCGCGTTACTAGAGAGGCGACACGACACAACGCAGGGAATCTCCGCAAAATGTCCCTGTTTCCCCCCCAAACAGAACAGGGCGCAAACCGCGCGGGAGGTCACGGGGAGTCAATGCGGTCCACGTCAGTAGAAGAGAACCGGCGCGTTTACCTGAGTAAGTTAGCGGTCCCTCGGATGCTCCGTCAGTGGTCAAAGGCGCATCCGGAGTCCACGCAACGCCGCTATCTGCCCGCTGCTGTGGCGGTCCGTACGGTCCCGGTGCGTAAAGTGGGTTTAAAAAGCTCCACGGTGTCCACCGACAGTATTTTCTCACATTGTTCCAAAAAGACACGTCCCGCGCTCCTCTTCGGATTTCGAGCAGAAACTCATTTTTTTTAAATAAATGTTCTCTGTTTGTTATTCCAGAGATTGTAAGGAAAAAGTTCTTCCCGGGATGTGGTGCTCGGTGAGCCGGTCCCGCAGGTGGACGCGATGGAAGGTGGTCGCGCGCGTCTCGGGAGCCGTCGTCCCCAGCTCGCGGCTCGGTGTGTCCGCGCGCAGCAACAGCCGCCTTCCTTATTGGGGAGCCCGGGGCTCGCGCGGCTGTCAAGAGAGTCAAGTTGTAGCGAAATGACTTCCAGCGAAATCTTTCACAATAAAGAAATAGCGTCATGGGAGGAGGCGGCACCGCGGTCCGGGAATCTCTGGATTTAAGCAGAATTCAGAAAGCTCAGTTCAGAAATGTGAATAAAAAAATCCCGTTAAACATTTTTATAAAATCTATTTATAATTTTCAAAAGCCGGTCAATCTCTGAAAATGAATTAGTGTATGGGTGCGAGTAGACACGATGCAGGTTTTCTTAACTAGCTTATAGTAAGATATAAGATAGTAAAACACACTGTTGCCACCTCGTTTTATCAGCTAAGTTGGCCTACAGAGAAAGAACCTCTTAATAACATGTTTTATGGTGTTTCACAAAATGTGAGTGTAATTGCTGGTGAAGTACAGCCTTCTACTGTTTTACATTTCTAAAAAAACTATAATGATACAATGTTTAATTAATAGAGGCTTCTCCCTTGAGACTGCTTTTATTTTGAAGGCAAAAGCACTCATGTTTCCTGCCATATTCTACCTCTGCTGTGGTCAGAGCTGAGGGGCTTCCTCTCCTCGCCCATCAGCCCCCTCTTCTGGAGTCAAACAGCTCAAATGGAGCTCAAATGGACGTGTCCGGTCGGCAGCACCGCCTGTGTTCCCCAAACAGAGAGGACTCGTTGGAGACAATGATTTACTAGGTGGAGACACCACCCGCCCGTGTCTCCACCTAGTAAATCCCACAGCGCAGCCAGAAGGAGAAGACCTCGAGGTCATCAGGGGGATTTGAAATGTAGTGGGTTTTGAATGTTGCGTTTTATATTTACAGATCTCAGTGAGTTGTAAATACATCTTAAGATATTTAATCATGCAGAGCACAGCCGACACACGACAGGTGTATATAGCTACTGTCAAATCTGTATATTTTAGCATTGCATTTGTATTTGACGAGGGTCCCCATGAGAAGACGAGGTGTCCTGATGTGAGACATACAAATACAGGAGCGACTCTTATGTAATATGTAGTTACATTTTATTTGATATCATCTTGGGTTCTAGGACATCCTGGTAGTGTGTCTTCGGCCTACGCAAATCTATTCCAACCTTTTATTGAACAAGCGCCGGCATGAAGGTCATTTTCTGCTAAGATTAGCAGTGTTATGCAACATTTATGGTTCCTTCGTCACCTACCTGATGGACAGGCCGTAGGTCTTCAGATGTGCTTTATTGTCCTCGGGGCTCTGGGGTCCCTCGGGAGAAGTGCTGCCGTGACTTTCTCCAGGACTTCTTGCCCCAGGGCAGCTGAGAGAGCACTGACCCACACGCAAAAAGCATCAGTCAGACACCACCAGAGGAGCAACATCTGCTCTCTGTAAGTTTAACCCTCTCGGCCTGCTAGTATGAAGTGCTAATGCAGTCGCTCAAAGCCGAAGGAGCTTTTTAGTCGCTTGCTAATATCAAGAAGAGAGGAAAAGCAATAATGTGATTATTATGCAACAAATAACTCAACGTTACCTCTGGATTCACACAGGACACAAACAGGGGTCTCCTGGGTAAAAGTCTGTGTAAAAGACTGTTATCCAGTCTATACATACATATATATATAATGTATATACACATATATATAATGTATATATATATAATGTATATATATGCTTTCCTCGACCACAATAATTCCATAAATTAACGCATTAGCTTTGACAGCCCTGATATACGCGCACACATATATATATATATACACGCGTAGATGTTTGCTTGTCCTTCTGCAGACGTACGTGTGCCTTTCTAAATCATGTCCAATCAGCTGAATATAGCAATCCAGTTGTAGAAACAGCTGGAGGAGGATCAGTGGAAGCGGCTGTGAATACTTATGTACATGCTAGATTTTTATTCACTTTGTCATCATGGGTGTTTGTAGAATATAATTATTAATCGGCAAGATAATTCACAAAATAAATAAATAACAGGGCCCTGCCCCGTGCAAACAGGGACTAATAACCAGACGGAAAATCTAGTCTCATAATTGATATTAACAGTTTAAGTTTGAACACTGGGCCTTTACCACAGCATCTAGGCTCAAAGTACCAAACCAATCAGATCAATGCTGTTTGAAATCAATAAAAGCTGTTTATTGATATTCTATTATTATCAAAATAAAAAATACAGTAAACCTAATGACAAGAACAACGATGAAACGTGCTAATTCAGCTACTGCCCAGACAGACCGACATGGGCTGGACAGGGATGCCGTGTTACAGTTGTTGGTGGCCTCTACAGGCGGTAGAAGAAGCCTTCTTTCTCGCTCAGGCCGCCAGTGAGAAGGTGTCTCTCCCCGAAAAGCTTCAGGTTGCAGAGCGAAGGCGGATTGAGCACACAGGTCTGTTAGCATCATCGCAGCGCACTGGGACCCCTGTGGTGTCACATGTCAGTGGCGAGTTTAACACAAAGCTGTGAGAAGCAACTTCTTTGGGGGGGTTTTGTCCCATAGCAGCCTTTGTTCATGCACGGGGCGAGCACTACATTTATTCTCTTTACCAAAACCTTTCATTACTACAATGTAAGAAAAGTAAGCCAAGAATGAATCTCTCTTTATTCCCACCAATTAAACGTGGCGGTCTGGGCTTTGCTCCTCCCACGAACTGACCAGCACAGCTGTAAGGCGTTCGCCAATCACGCTCCAGGCTCGGTGTTGTCCCGCCTTCCACCCGGGGAGTAACGCACCAGCAGTCCTTCCCCACGCAGTGGAGCACCAGCCCTCCACCTCCTGCGTCCTGCTCTTGGGTCCCGCACCACAACCGACGTGACACTTTCTCTGCTGTGTGAGGAAAGTGTTTTATTTGTTGTTGTTTTGAACCCCCATCGACCGGACCATCCGCACCATCCGCACCATCCGCAGCCCAGTAGTGTGCATTTATTATGCTCCATGAATTCAGAATTTGTTTTTCCTCGTTAACTGTAAAAAAGGTAAAAAATATATTAAATAATGCAAAAAACCCCAAACACAATAAATAAGAGGAAGAGGAAATGTGTTCCTCTATCACTCCTCACATGAGGTTCTATGCGGCGATGATTACAAGTGATCTTCTGGGGACCATGAATACCTGAAGCAGATTCAGTGGTCAGAGCAGCACGATGAGACGATCCAGACACCGGGCAGGGACCCTTGTGATGAGCCACCCAGACAGATCTGAGGGGCTTCTAGAGGCGCCACAACACACAAATGCGTCTTCCCTCCTCGACAGTCATTGTCTCTGCTTCAATCAAATACAAACAGTCATGTACGAGTGCACACGGGGGCAAGTACATACAAAAATCCATCCTGAGGCCACTTAGCAAACAGCTTGCTCGTACGTACCCCTGACAACCGTGTTTCCCATTTGAATATTTCATGTTGCGGTTGAAGCGTTAATGCCTTCAAACCTTTTCTTTACAATGGAAATGTCTGGTCATGTTTGCAAACATATTTCCTTTTTAAGCGGCGGAATGCGCCAAAGCCTTTCCTCGCCCACTTCCCCCTCTCCTCAGGAAGCAATCACATCCCTGGCACAATCAAAGCCAAATGCAGCCTAGTCATGAATTGCTTTTACAGGAGGCTGCTGGTATATTTTCTGAGGCTCTTTGTATTGGAATTATGTTGAGCTGGAGTACTGAGAGTGCATAAGGGAAAAGCAGCTGTGTTAGCAGCTGAACCACCACGAAAAACATCACGTCTCCTCACTGATGTTTCCAGGAATTAATGAATGAATATTGCCATTCAACACTAGTTAAGGAATAACAAAAGCTTCCCTCAAATCACGCCGGCCATTCCATTGTTGCATATTTCGTAGGCTGTGTCATCACCTTGGTTTCATTTGCTTATGTGTTTGAACCCCTCATCAGATAGCAACCGTTGGTTTGGAAACCCAATGCTGCCGAAGTGCCTTTAATCATCCATTGCCTCAATGTCGCCAGGCTGCAGCCTCCAACAACCACAGGCTGAAGCGAGCGGACTCTCAGATGGGACGGTCTGGCCTGCAGGGGGGCTTCCTACCGGCGTCATCACCTTTACCTCCACTGCTCCCGTTGCCTAGCAACCTGCTGCGCTTGACAGGAAAAGCCTTAAAAGCCCCAAAAAGTACAGATAAAGAAGATAATCTTCTTATTTTGTTTAATTTAGGAAGATGCACTTCTCCTCCGGAGCTTGATGTATTTCAGGCTGAGAGAAGAACTTGTTTTGGTTATTTTAAATTCAAATTAAATCAGTTAGGCCGTGTACTTTCAGGTAAAAGTAATAATGCAATCTCAAGGAAGAGGAGATTCCATCAATACTGTCAATAAAAACCACAACAGCAAACATGTATTTTTTTATGTTGCAATATATTTTAACTGTAACTTATTACAGAATATGTTCAAGCTCCAGCAGCTCAATGTCACCACACACATTGTTCTCCTTCAGCGTGATGCTGCTTCCTCCTGCTCCATAAAACACAACAAAGTAGTCTATAATCACACAAGCAAACAGAAGGGGCAACGCAAGTTCCTTTTCTTTGTGTATTTATTCTGTGACGTTACTGACTTTCAGGTTCATAACTTGTCTACCTGAGCTCACTTTGATGCATTTCTGTCCAGAGTATAAACTATATATAAAACGTCTCAGCCTCAGTAAGATATAAGTTGCAGCGGCTCCCGGTAACGTGAGCTGCTTGTTGTGTATATAAGTGATAAATGTGTGTTGGTACGAGCCTGTTCATAAGAACATGGACCCTGGGGGGTTCAGGTGAGAGTTTTTACGTTATCACTACGAGCAGTACAGCAAGTGAATTCTATTAATCAACGTTACGTTTGAAAGTGAACTCTGAATAAATGAAATCCTCGTCGGACCGCCTGCATGCTGGGACAGATCAGATGTCCAAATGGGCTCCTGGAGGACTGGGTCCCTCGACGGCGTTCGGAGGAGCTGCAGAGGAAGAGACGACTTTGAGACACAGCTACTATGTGGTCGTCCCCAAA